ACCGGAATTTCGGTACAGCCAGGGCATTATTACAAGATAATCGAGTGTTATAGCTATAGGTATTTTTTATATAAGTTCTATAGCTTGTAAAATAATCTGGGCATTCCTTGTTCACAATTTTGAACATCATACACAGTTTCTCTATGCGTACTTAGTATGTCGTCAATCGGCAGCCACTGTAGTTTCTGGAACATTTGTGCGGAATTATGTAATAGCTTGGTATCTAGTATTAATCTACTGCAACGTTTTTAAACTCTTAAAGTATTCTCAACAGCTGGTCGTTTGGGGCATTTCCCCAAACCGAGCAACAGTATTGAAAGATAGGCTTCACGAGTGCATTGAAAAATTTTCTGCAGTAGAGATTGAGGTATAGCCTTTGGCTCTTTTAAGTAAATAAGTTCTTGAGTTCAGTTTCCTAATAAGGTAATCGATATGGCTGTGCCACGTAAGGCAATGGTCTATCCTGACGCCTAGGAGTTCTTCATCCTCGACTTCTTCAACACGGTTGCCATTCAAGTAAAGATCCAAGGTCAGCTGATTCACATGTTGCAGTTTCTGTCGTGTGGCAATGAGGAGTTGTTTTGTCTTCTTTGCGTTACTTGGACCATTTGATTTGACGTGAACCATCTGCTGGCATTGTTTAGACTGTTTTGCAGATTGTCCTGAAAATTATCGATGGAGTGATCGGAAGTCCATAATGTTGTATCATCGGAATATATTTCAACGTCAGAGACTGGTAAACATAGGGGCAGATCATTAATGTAAAGTGAGAATAACACGGGACCTAAAATCGATCCTTGTGGGACGCCTTATGTCATCCAGAGATGGCGCAGATCTGAGTTCGATCACATAGGTAAGACCTAAACCATCTCAAGGTTGGTTGGCTGGCGTGGTATTTGGCGATCGTAGATAACAAGATATCATGGCTTACCAGGTCAAAGGCTTTACTGAGATCTAAAAATACCGACCCAACAAGCTTACTGTTATCCATAGCTTTTAGCCAGTTGTCTGTAAGGCTCAACAAGGCTGTTTCACAAGAATGGCCCGGACGATACGCGGACTGCTTGCTGTATAGAAGGCCGTTGTTAGTGACGTATTCTAGGTAGGATGATGCAAGATCACTGAGTGTGTATATACTAACACTTGATATCCAAAGGTTGTCTGAGTAGCCAATCATAGTGCGGGAAAAACATTATCCACTGTTTTAGTATATACCAAATTTAACAAGACGCTGTGGGAGTGTATACTTGGGTGTCGTTGCACTACGTATATATGAATTTTTTCAAAGTGTATTAGGAATGTGTGAGTAGTGCAGTAGAGTTGTATATTTTAGGGGTTTGTTGAGATGTGCGAAGTGGAAGCCGTGGAGTTATTTTGAACGTGGATTGGTAAGATAGTGGTTGTAGTTTGTTAATCAGTGAAACTGGTTTCTCGTGCAATTTGATATGAAGTAACAAAAAATCTTGGGGGAAGGTAAAAGTTACAAGGGGACACAAATGGCTTTTACTGGAAGTACAATCCGATGCTAAGATGCTTTCCTCGCGGGCAGCTTATCCGACTTAGTCCCATTTAATATGTCGCGCTCCTCGAAAGTGCGAAAATTATCTTGTCGTGTATTAGATTTCAGTATACATTTTGTTAATCTTCATTTCGCGCCAGAATAGATTAGCTTGCGAGCAAAGAGCTTCTAAAAGAATCACAAGGTTTGTCCCACTTCGAGATACGCCGGCTTGGTAGCTGGAATACATTCCCGAGGTCAAGATCTGGCATTTTTCCTCCCCGTCGATTTTTCGCCACGATATTTGTTTATATTTGTAGTGAGAATGCAGTGCATATCGGTGGATTTTACGTCATGCGGCTTCGTGTGGCTTGCTACTTATGAAAGAGGAGTGCCGGATTTCATCGCTTTCTTCGGCTTTAATTTGTTGTCGAACACATGCTTCATTACTTGACCTATTTCGGTTACGTGCCAGGAGTTAGCTGACAATGTTTGTGTGCTATAATTATGCTGATAATTTGTTGCACCTTTGTATTGAAACTCCTGAAAGCCAAACTTGTTTGACCCCAGAAAAAAACTCTTCCATTATGGAGAAACTTTTAACGTCTTTTGGGCCCAATATGCTGTAACATTTTTAGGGGAACAAAGCTTGATTTTTGACGAAACGGACTATAGCCTTTTTTCATTGAAGAGAGCGCGAGCGAAACGGGAGCATTAAGCCCCGTGAGTACAGTGTAACCCAGTGATTCTTTAGGTAAAGCTAACAAACATACGCTGCACTTAAGGTGGCGCGCACATGAGTGTAGTGTAACCCAGTGATTCTGTAGGTAGAGCTTACAAACGTAGGCTACACTTAAGGTGGCGCACCCATGAGCAAAGTGTAACTCAGTGATTCGCTAGGTAAAGCTTACAAACATAGACTGTATTTTAGGTGGCGCAACCATGAGTACAGTGTAACCCAGTGATTCTCTAGGTAGAGCTTACAAACGTAGACTGAACTTTAGGTGGCGCACCCATGAGTGCAGTGTAATCCAGCAGTTATTCTCTAGGTAGAGCTAACCAAAACGGGCTGCACTTCATGTGGCACATCCATGAGTGTAGTGTAACCCAGTGTTCTTTAGACAGAGCTTACAAAAATAGACTGTCTAAGTGTACATCAGATAGCAACACGTTTTCATAAACCTTTGTGATGCTACAATATGCATGGCACTTCGAGTATTTCTTTATCGCTCGATACATTGTTTTAACACACACTATTGATAACCAGAGGAAGTCGTATTGTCTAAAACCATTTAGGCACATCACAGAGGTAAGGTAAGGTAAGGTAAGTAAACGTTATTTATACATGGTACTAAAATAATAATAATAAAAAGCATGCTTTACAAGGCCGTGTAAAAAAATTACATATCTCTAAATTAAGGTTTTTTAATTTTCCTTTAAAAACATAGAAGTGTGTAAATTGCCGTACCTCCATTAGGCAAGCTGTTCCACAACACATTTCCCTACAGGAAAGGCTTCTTTTATAAAATTCGGTGCGGGTTTTGGAACAGCGAGCTTGTATTTATTCAGGGGCACCCAACGACTGTTTTCTCTGAAATCATATCTTTTCAGACAAGCAAAAATTGCCTATAATTTTCAATGGCTTGAGGAAGGCTAAAAATTTCTAGATAACTATTCCATTTCATGTGAAATCCCTACGACTCTCCCAAGACGTTTTTTGGTGATTTCATTTATTTTTTCGGTCCGGGTTTTTTTTATCATTTTTGTTTTCGCGGCTTAATTCGCAGCGAGGGATAAAAATGTATTCGTCGAAAAGAATAAGGAATTTCTGCTCGACTGAGTCTTCCGTCTCGAAAGGGTTACTTCACACTTGAGAAGTAATCGATTACTAAAGACTAATAGTGCAATAATAATTTGTAACAACCTTTAGATGTCCCATGATGATATCGAAAAGCATAATATATAAAAATTAAACGAACTCCAAACTTCCAAAGAAGCACGTTGTTTGAAATCGTTGGACACTTTCAAAATGGACGCAAAACAACGAATTTTTCATGATTTTTCTGGCATTTCGTGAGCTTAAAATTGCTACAAACTGCACTATCAAACACAGTATACTGACTGAAATCAATGCGGCAATTACATAACTGAGTATAGAAGGCTATTGTGTTTCCCACGGATTTATATGCCGTTTTTCGAAAATTGCCGCACAGTCGCAAGCAATATATTACATGTACCATGCTAGCAAAGTTTTCTTTATCAGCGTAGTTTTTAAGCGTATGCGAAGTCGTTCGCACCGCTTAATCAAAAAAATTGCGTGCTTGAATAGACGATATTCGTATTCCCCGACGGCCCTGGGACAAGAGACTTCACAGCATGATTGCGAGGCTAAAGCGGGGAACTTTTTGGCAAAAACACAAACAAAAATTGGTTAGTCGCGGCTGAATCCCTGCAAAACGATAGAAATCAGCAAAAAACAGCAAGATTTAAAAGCTGAAACCTTACGGGTAAGCTAAAGGGATATCTGTTTCAAAAAACAAAACTGTGGGAAGAGCTGGTCGTACTAACAGCAAGAGTTAAAAAGGCACGAAGCCAAAAGAAGAACCGAGAAGTAATCAAGAAAATGGTATATTGTGTCCAAATGTCAATACTCGAATCCTTTTATAAAATTTTATTCTTCTTATTATTCTTTTTCTCTTGTGTGTATCTGTAGTGTGGAGTTTAAACTGCTCATTATTATCGTCGGTACCAAACTCTGTGTTCAACTGCGTGCACGTTTTTGCACTCTCGCACAGTTGTTATCGAAGATAATGTAAGTTAAATTTAAAAATAAACTTTACCTAGTCATCTTTGTTTAAACCGGTTTAACTCCCTGAAAATGTACATGGACTGTGTGCAGAACGCTAAGCCCCGTCCTGATAAGTAATTATCCACTGAATGAGTCGTTTGGTTTACTTCAAATACACATTCAAGATTTTGCATCCGCTCTGTTAGAAAATGTCAACTGCAAAGTAGGTGTGATAACATCACTGTTAACTTTATCGCAGGCATTCGATAATTACGTCCATTTCAATAAAAGATAGTCTTCAAAAAGTTTAAAGGCCACTGAAAATTACAATTAAAATGGCTTCGGGGATTTTGAGAACATCTCTGTTTATATTAAATTATAAACTCGCTCACCAAGCACTCTTCTCATCAATATAATTATGGTTAGGATCGCTGTTTTTCTTAGTAATAATAAGGAGATCTTCCTTTTGTTGTTTGAAATAATGATCTCTCAAGTATGTAAGCCCTTCGGAACTTTACAATGTTAAAAATTTTCCTTAAATCCGGCAAACTCAGCCGCAGTTTTCTCATACTCGTTTGTCCTCTTGGCGAGAAGTTCCCCGCATGAGCCTCGCATTCATGATGAAGGCCTAATCGTCCTAGGACTGTCGGAGAATACGAATACTGTCTATTGGCTTGTTTACGTCCGAAAACCAACTGAGTGATCAAAAAAAATACGCGAAATAGTGTCAGGGCGCAAACGACTTAGAACACTATAAAAACAGTGCCGGAAATAAATTCCTGCTAGAAGGGTAGCAATATTTGAACAACCTTTACATGTAGCGTAAATAAGCGTAAAGCTGTTACAACAACTTTATTCTCACTTTACGAAACCTTTAAGAGCCGGGCGCGTAAATCTGGCCATTTTTTTCAAAATCTATCTAAAAGTAAGATACTGCATACCTCGAATTTTCTCCATGTGCTTGTCAGCTTCTTCCTTGTTTATGATGATCACCTCGAGCTCCCCCTTGTAGCCAGTCCTTTTAAACTCTTTAATCAATCGCCTCTCTACTTCTTTTGTCTCAAAATCTTTCATGAATGATTGAAAACTCTCCTCGGAATTGCATAGCAATTCTACCAGAATCGATCCACGTGTAACATTTATAACTTGAAGACCTGTTGTTGTTTCCAGTGCTCCACGTACTGCATTTATGACTCGCTGGGGATTTGCTAGATATAACGCACCAATCCCAAGAGCCACAACACCGCAACCAATACCAACTCCCGTTAAGATGGATCTAGCCGTCTCCCGGTCAGAAATTTTAAGAGAGATTCTAAATGAGCCATATGAAACATCAACGTCCACAGCGGGAATGGCTCTTCGTTCCTCACGTTCCTCATCTTCTTCGAGTACATCTGCCATCGGTTCTAAAACTTTTTCTCTCAAGTAACTGGCTGTTGCTTTTCTTGATACTTGATCTCTCCCTTGATCCTCAACTTCTGCAGTCGAAAGAGAAAATTCTTTATTTAAAACCACAAAGAATAAAGATTGCCGACAAGAAGAAGAAGAAGAAGAAGAAAGGAGGTGTCGGAGAAAGACTAGAAGTATCACCTACGCTAATAATCTTCAAGCAAACGGTAGCAAATATAAATAAAAATATCGCATCTATTACTGTTATTACTAGCTTATTCTACTAAATATTCACTGAAGAGCTGCCGTAAACGGACTATCATAAGTTTGTTAACTGGATTAACCTTAACCCCTCCCCCACCACAACCCACACCAGCCCCCAACCTGAGATCAGATCCAATTTTAACAGTTCTCATACATTCTCTCTAACGTGCTCACAAGCTTGTGCTCACTGCGGCCGGAGTTTGGGCGTAACGCTGGTTGGCTGTTAGAACAATGCCACTGGATCTGATTGCAGGGATCCATATTCATTTTTTTTTTTTCAGAGTCGTCGGCCGGGCAAGTAAGCCTGATGGAATACTTCCCCGGTTACAATTTGGGTTGCCTGGACAAAGGTGCAAAATTATATAAAAAATGGTGCTTGAAGGTTTTTTTCTGTTGCGTAGAAGGTAAAAAGTTTTCGAAAAGACGACGACACGATGTTCTCGTTTTAATATTTTGGCTAAGCCCGCTCGATTTTTAAAATACTGAAATTTCTATTTTTCTGTTGCTTTATATTTTCATCGGCAATTTTCCCCGATTTTCAGTACACAAATCTTTAAAAATCTTGGAGAAATATATCGCAAACTTTTTCAAAGGGTATTTAAATTATCCCAGAACAAACCAAACGAGTTCTCAAGCGCATTTAATCGTAAGTGCACCTGCAGTTTGTGAATTTACTAGAAACAACGGTCTTAGAAAATATATTTTTTACACATCCAGGAAAATATTATCTGCCTCTTTGTAAAGACGAAACGACACTACTAAAACTAGTTTTAACTGCATGCTCAACTGAACTATAAACAAAATGAAAAACAATATTATACAAACACGCTTTGTAGTTCTGTTGTGTTTTTGTTTTACTGCAGGTCTGAAAAGCTCGCTAAATCTGATAATCGAAATTAACAAACAGCAAACAGCCAACGAGCGAGGACAACATTTTTTGTGGCAAACAACAAGTTTGTTGCCTGAAGACCAGCAGCACTCGCTTTTATAATAATGCCTTCAAAAATCAATATTGCTATTTTCATCAGCGCTTAAAAATAAAAATATTTAAAAAAAAATTTCTAAGACTGCATAAAGTATACATGCAAAAAGTGCATGAACCTACAAAAAGAGTAAAACAATTATGTCAACACTAAAACTATAAAAATTACATAGACTACTTACATCGTAAAAAACTGCATAAAACCTACTAAAAAGGAGATTAAAAAGCACATAAAATCACAAAAAATCTTTCTGAAATAAAAATGTCTTGAGTGTCTTGTTAAAAGATGCTACTGAGGGGCTACTCCTAATTGAATAGGGCAATGAATTCCATAGTTGAGGAGCAGGAGCAGTAAAAGATCGATCTCCTAACGTTGTTTAAAAAGTCTTGAATTTGAAAGGGTTTAGTAGCAGTCCATCACAATCGGAGTGTAACTTGTATTTACATGCTTCTTTAAGACTAATAAGTTCCTGGAGATAAAAAGGCGCTAAGCCATTGATAGCCTTATACGTTAACAATAATATCTTAAAAGTCAATTCGGAATTTAACCGGCAGCCAGTGCAGATTATACAGCAACGGTCTTACATGGCAGTATTTAGATTCCAGGAAAGTTAACCTAGCGGTAGCATTTTGGACCCTCTGTAGCTTATTAAGCTGGTAACCTGGCAGGCCACAGAGCAAGCTGTTACAATAGTCGACACGACTTGAGACAAATGCGTGAATGAGCGTCTCAGTGGACCGCCTAGAAAGATATTTCCTAATTCTTCTTATATTATACAAGTAATAAAAAGCATTGGAACAAGTGTTATTTACATGAGAATTCATTGAAAGAGTCGAGTCTAACCATGTCCCTAAGTTCTTAACTACCCCTTTTGGTCTATTTACACAGTCTCCAATTAAAATATGATCAATATTAACTTTAGCTAGTTATTGCTTGGTACCAATCATTAGGAATTCTGTTTTTTCGTCATTGAGGAGTAGTTTATCATTGGTCATCCAATTACGTATATCATCCACACAGTGCTGTACAGCAGTGACAGCCTCAAATTGCCCAGTGCTTATGTTTGGACTGAAAGACACATACAACTGCGTGTCGTCAGCGTAGCAGTGAACCGTGGGAAGGTGCACCTTGATAACATCAAACAATTTGCTTGCATAAATCGTGAAAAGCAATGGCCCGAGGCAAGAGCCCTGCGGTACTCCGAAGTCCAAATTCAAACTCTGAGATAGATTTCCTTGGACCATAACACGCTGAGATCTTCCATTAAGGTAGGAACGGAACCATTCAAGTGCCGTTCCAGATATAGCAAATTTTGAGTGAAGCCGACTGAGTAAAACATAGTGATCCACAGTATCAAATGCCGCACTAAGATCTAATAAAACCCGTAGTGTTACATGCTGTTAGTTCATGATCAACAACATGTTATTTTTCACTCTCAGCAACGCTGTTTCTGTGCTATAATTCTTCCTATAAGATGACTGATTGGCAGGGTAAAGATTTTTCTTGCAAATGTGACTATGAGTTTGGTTATAGACGGCTGACTCTGTCAGCTTCGAGACAAATGGTAAGTTACTAACGGGACGAAAATTCTTGAAGAGAATATCGAGGCCAGGTTTTTTAAGTAACGGTAAGACTAAAGCCTCCTTCCAGGCGACAGGAAATTGACCAGACTTTAAGGACATATTGATTAATCTTGTAATTACAGGAAGTAGGACATCACATCGGCTGACCAAAGTTGAAGGCATAGGGTCAAGAGCACAAGATTTTAGAGACGAATGGTGCATAAGAGACTTCACATCTTGTTCCGTTAACATCTTAAATTCAGTGAGGTGGACGAAAGACGACTCAATGCCCTCTATGTCGGTTTATGATAGTTTACAGCACCATGACAATCGAGGCGACTCCTCATATGCTCTATTTTCTGCACAAAAAACTTCCCGATGTCCTCGGCGAATTGAGCCCTATCAGTAGTGAGAGGTAGCCAGTCGGCAGATCCTCTGTTTAGTAAGCGATTACCAGCGGCAAACAGCTTCTTTTGATCCCTGCTGTTCTCCTCAATGAAATTAGTGTAAAATTCCCTACGAGCCTTGTTCATCAGAGCAGTTGCTGCATTCCGCTTTACCTTGAAGGCAGCCAGGTCAGAGTCTAACCTAGTCCTTCTCCATCTCTTTTCAGCCTTTCTTCTTTCACGTTTAGCCGTCTTAATCTCCTCGTTGAACCAAGGAACACGAGGTCTCTCTTTGATAGACCTGGTAATCAAAGGAGCACGTTTATCCAAAAAAACTTTCAGTGTGCTGTTATAACATTTAGCCAAATCTTCCAGGACTTCAGGAGGATTTCTGCATAAATCAGTGGCAGCCAGGTCGGGACTGGAGGGAATTCAAGTCGATAGATTTAAACTTTCTTTAGGAGATAGTCTTCTCTAATAAAGATGGTTTTATTGACTTGAGACAGAACAAAACCGTACTATGGTCAGACAGGAAACGGTCAACACGTGGTAAATCTTCGATATTAATATTGTCAGACCGCCGAGAAATTACGAGATCTAAAGTATGACGTTGAACGTGAGTATGTTGTTCAACATGCTGTTGAAGACCGACTGATTCAAAGAAATCAGAAAGTTTATTGGCATCACTGTCTCCAGCTACGTCAATATGGATGTTGAAATCACCTAGGATTAGTAACTCTTCATTGGACAACAGAATTGTCTTGACATAATCTGCAAATTCAGCAAAAAAGGTGCTCATGGGAACTTTGTGCTCGTCAGTAGTAATAGACGGGGGGTTCTGCGCAGTGGTGGAGGTGGTGGAGTGACGTCACAATAGCTCAGGGGATTAAACTGATGAGATCATCATCTAAAAATAGAAAGGTATATTCTGTATAACAATCTAGGGTGTTGACGTCATCAAAAAAACGATGAGATCATCATCAAAATAATCATTTAATATGGTAACTGGTGAGATGACATCATCAGCTTAAATTAGAAAGGGTTTTTTGACATGATCAGCTATTTTTTATAGTCTATGACATCATTATTTATTTTCATCTTTTTAAGATCATATAAATGAAGGTTATTATTATTAATCATTATTATCATGCAAAACGAAAATGGTTATTATTCAGTCTTTCATAAGGGACCAGTCATAATTTAAGTTGGAGGGGGGGGGGAGGAGAAATTGGGGGGCCTTCAATTTTTTTTTGGATGGAATATGGGGGGCCTTAAAATGCCAAAAGATGACCTTGGGGGGTCTTCAAGTTTCTTTTAAGTAGCATCCCTACTGAGCAGCATGATGTTTGAGTATTAAAGGACCTGATTTTGATTCAGTTTTACACAAAGTCCTATATTGTGTAATACTAAAACAATTTAATCAGCATTTTTACAAAAAGATTTAATGCTCAAATAGTAGGTGCATCAACACAACATCCATTATTGTGTAACACTGAAACAATTTCATCGGCATTTTAACAAATGATTACATGCATAAAGTCATGGTATGCAATCTCACTATCCGAATCATTATTTGTAGATGAGGTTGATGCGGACTCACTGTCTGTGTCACAGTCAAGTTTTGCGCTATTAGAGCATGTACTGCTTATATAAAAAGCAGTAAGCTTTGGCTGATTATCTTCTTTCTTCCTTGAAGCGGTCCTGTCGGCCTCTCACCTTGGCTTGTCTTATCTCAATTATAACACAATCACTGATATATCCTTGCTCTTTAAGCTGTTTGAGAGGCTCTAGGTGAAATATCTTTCTCAGTTTAGTGTGAAGTGCTTCTCTGTTGTTAGTTGGCACATTCGGAAGTGACAGTGAGTAAGAACGGTAAAGTAAAGAAAATGTTATTTGTTATTACCATTTGGGTATTATGTATAAGAAAGGGGGGCCCTTAAATCTTTTAACATGATTGAAGGGGGGGTACCTAAAAAACATGGGTGCTATTAGTGGGGATCTGGAAAAAATTTGGAATAAAAAACAATTTCACCTCCACTCCCCCCTCCAACTTAAATTATGACTGGTCCCTAAGAATAAAGTTTAATCATTATATCGTATGATAGCGAGGGCCATAGTTCCCCCCTCGAAAGAAATAACGTCTCTCAAGAAAACATTTTGCGACCTCTCAGGGTCAACAATTTCCAAGCTGAAAGTACTCTATTCTGAAGTATTTCTAAAAGTTACTTTGGGCAGACTCTTGGTGTTCTTGAAATTTGCAGAGGATCTGGAACTGACGCTGGAAGAATGAGGACAATTATATGCTGTTATTTATCCCACTTTAATATATCAAATCTGAGAGCAGTTATATAAGGCGATGATGTAGGCAGTAAAATCTTAAGACTGGAACATTGCGAAGTGATTAGAGCGATGGGTTGTTGTCCACCATCGACCACTTTTGGACATCGTTAGTCAGTTAATTATGCGAGTTCGCAAGCCCACCGTTGCATACAAATTAGTACAGCTCTGCAGGAAAAGCCCCAAGAGAGAACTTTCAAGTGACTGATTATCATAAAAACAATAAAAACATAAAATAACTTAACAAGGATCAATTGAAACACGCGACTTAGAATTGTGAGCAATAAAGTTTTTTAAAAAAACTTTATTAAAACCAATAACTAAAAGAGTCAAATACACAGCGATTTGAAAGGGAAAGGGATGAAAATTAATCCTTTGACTGACTATTACAAATTCGTTTCTCCTTTCTATTACGAGGAATAATAAATAATCCTTCCGTGTCTACACAATTTTCCTATAGCCTCTAAGCGAAGAGTTTGACTTTCTTTGTTTCTTTCGGTTTGTCTTGTTCTTTGTAGTTGTTCTTTTAGCTTTTGCTTTAAAAGAGGCTTTATTTCTTCGTGATCTTGACAGTTCGTACACCGTTTCTTGTGTCTGTACTGGACTGCGAGTACTAGTTGAGTGATTTTTTCCGGAATTATCCGCTTCACTTTCGTAAACGACAACTTTAACTTTAGGTTGCAGTTTCGCCTCTTGTAAATACTGTCTTTGCTGTATGTGGTCTAACTGATGAACATCCGCGAGATGGTTAGCTAATCTGACAAGGTACTTCGCCCCGCACCATGAAATCGGACAGTTTCTGCAAACTCTCTTGTAAACCATGTTCAAAAACCTGTTGACAGTTCGATGACTGAACACAAATGACTTCTATTTCGCAAACATTCAAGTTATACAGAGTATTAGAAAGGCCAAACACAGGCCCGAAAGGCCATAACCAGGCCAGAAAGGCCAAAACCAGGCCAAAAGAGACAAAAGGAGACAAACGGGCCATTTTCAGTCATGTGCCTTTTTCCTCGTACACACGCGTGGGTGTCGCGCGTCGCTAGTCACGCAACAGCTTTCAATATTGGAATCATCATCTTTATTAAGTATAATCACAAATAACAGTGCCTAATTAAAAAGTTTTGTTCTTCCTTTAGTAATTGGTACTTCAAATTTCAGATTTGCTATTTATTGCACAAGTTTACTGTTATTGGTATTATGATCAAGTCATCAATAGTTTGGTTGTTTACAGTTTTTATTGAAATGCAACAATACAAAGGTCCAGCGAATAAAAAATTTTGTAATTCATAGCCAGTCTAGTCTTGATATTCCTTTGGCCCTTTTTACCTTCGTTTGGCCGATGTAAGTTCGATTATTATTTAGCTTAGTAACCCCGCCTTTACCCATTTTCTATAAAAGAG